CCAAAAGCCTGAACTGTACAGGTCCAAATTACCGGTGAAACTTGCATCAAGAATTCTAGAGGACATTTTACAGAAAACTAAAATTGAGGGATTAACTGTGTATGATGTCATGTCCTAATTGCAGTGTCCAATTTGATAGTCAATAGGTGTAAATGGATCGAGTCTCATTATACATGTAGATTTAAAACCTCTATGGTTGAGGTGAGGCCTAATCTCTAGCGCTAATATAATAATGAAGCAATAAAATTCAAATACTCCGTCTATCCCATAATTTGAGCTTGATTTCAAATGACTAACAGTTATATCTAATCGTTTGATTTCCTACAAGTGTATGCATCGCGAGCAAGTAATTAAACAATGAATAAAATATCGTTCTCACGAGAACTATGTATTCAATCTATTATCAATCAATTCTAACTCTAATCGAATAGAAAATTGTGCTTGAAGGGTTTATACTAAATTAATTAATTAAAGTAATGATTTTAGTAAGCAATTTATGGAGTTTTTCTAAATTAAGATAAGATATTACTAAGACCTCAAATCTCCCTTATTACTTCGTTTCAATGCAAATTATTAACATGACAATATGTGTACATTCTCGTTGATCAATGCTTCTAAGTTAATTAAAAGCATCTCTCGATGTCAATAAATCTATCTTCTTAGGTAACATTCCTATATCTCTATGAAAGATACGGACATAAAAACATACATTAAAAATATTAGAACATCTATAGAAATCATGCAAAACGTAGCGGTATATCTCTATCTCCCATCGAGCTTTATAATGATCGTTATAAAGTGCTTTTTGTCTTATTATTTCTCTCGAAATCAATAAAATTCACAATCAATCCAATTAGTGATCAAATAATTTAAAAGACACTAAATCTTATAGCAAACATCCAAGAAAAAACACATATCAAGTGTCAAATTATCAAATTTATATTAAAATATCACAATAGTTCATCAATGTCTTAGCAATTAAAACCCTAACCTAGTATTACAAAATCTAAAAAAAAAAACACACATTTAATTAGAAGAACATAGCCCGGATTTTAGATTGATGAAATAGAATAAGATGAATCTTGAAATTTTAGATCTCTTCAACTGTTTTTTGATAAATCTCCAATATATCTTCTTGTAGTCTTTCTAAATCTCAAGGTTGAAACTCAAATTTCTCAAAAACTTGAAAATGCCGGTTAATTCTCACAAGAATAATGGATTAGTCTCTCTTTGATGATGTCAATTGATGAAATCTTGGTGTATGATATGCATATGATAGGTGTTTATAATGTACTCCGCTGATAGGTTGTAAGAGTGAAAAATTGGTTGAAAATTACGTCCAAATGGATTTCCAAAAGATTTTCAATCGAATAAAGAAAGTTGTTTTCACGCGCATATTTTTGTCTCTACACAGCCATTAGTATTTTTGTCATAACTTTCTCTTTCGATATCTGATTGAGAATATTCAAAGTGTGTTGAAAAGTTAATTCAAAGGATTACAACTTTAGTAGATATAATTTTTCCAATTCAAATGTTTACTATGTCAAAAATGGGTCTCAATTTTCGGCTAAAAATATATAATATAACTTGTTCGATTGTAAATGGATTTGTAATAATACTTTGATCATATTTCATTCTCTTCTGACTTCTTTGATCATATTTCATTCTCTTCTGACTTCTAATTGCATTCAATAAACTCTTAACAATCTTCAAATATCATCTTTTGGTTTGAATCAATTATTGAATATTTACAATTTGGTCCTCGAACTTTGATTTCATATTTTTTCATCATTTTTGCTTTTTTTTTCTAATTTGAAGTCCAATAGTCGAGTTTCTCCTGATAAACGAAATATACACAAGATTAAGCTATAATTGAAACCAAAATAAATATATAAAATACGCTTATCAACATCTAGTGTTAAGACATTAACATTTGCGTTGACTTTACCCCAACGCAAATGCAAATTTCAGGCATGTGAGGAGATAATGTTGGCTTTCCTTGCAATTGTTTATTGTGGATATAATGGAAAATCAAGGAAAAATCGGTTTGACCTTGGAATATAAACAATTGCAAGATTTGAACATACAATATCTCTTGTATCTTTCCTTATTTCCAGTGTTTTACATTTTAATTTTTCCATCCCCTCTGCAAACTCAAGAAGATCTTTAAGCTAACATTTGAACATAATATTTACCTTATACAGCGACAATGAAACTTAAATTTGAAGTCTTATGAACTAATGGGGTTCATCATAAGAAGAACCTAACTCCCCACTACTCCACCCTCTCTCTGTTATGAAACAAACAAGATACCAGAATTGCTCTGATATCACTTGTTATGAATTCGGCCAATAAGTAATATGAAAATAATGGATTACAAAGAAAACAAGATTTACGTGGAAACCCAAATATGGGAAAACCAAGGGTAGATGCCGAGAATTTACTATAATCAATAGTAAGAAATTACAAAGAATCTATTTAGACTGATAACTAAATGGACAATTAATCAATTCCAATATGTGTTATACACTACATATTTATAACTAAAAAATCTCTAACATATTAGGAGAATTAATATATGAACAGTTTAATATAAGGTGAAGTCCCTATACAATGGATAAAAGTAATAATGGAGAATTTGGGATGAAATATGAGTCCAATTCACCTGAATTCCTTCAAGACATCTTCAGGTCTACTACCAATTCCAAATACTCTTCTAATGATATTTCCAATCAAATCCTCAACAAGAATTCGAGTCATTGCCCAATTATAACAAACTCCACATTGACTCGAATTACATTGCAAGGAATAAAATTTAACTCTTCAGCTCCAACAAATTCTCCAGATAAAACACTCCACCAAATTACTCCACCTTTTCCACCATACCCCTCCGAGCAGACTCAACAACTGTGAATAAATTTTAAGCCATGTTTACTAGCAGAATTACCTTGCTCGCCAAACCTGCTTGAATCATCCCGTTCATTACTAGCTCCAGCTAAATCATTAAACATGTTGAATTACCACGAACACTTCCAACTCCATCTAAGTTGTCAAACTTGTTCGAATCACCACGAACACTTCCAACTCCATCTAAGTTGTCAAACCTGCTCGAATCACCACAAATAACATGATTAATAAGATCACCGTTAGCTTCACCTGAGCTACTAGAAGATTCCTGATATTATTGTTCAAATCACCACGAACAACCCGATTACAACCAACTCTACCCGAGTTATTGCTAATTGGACCATAAGTCGAAACTGTATCCACAGTAATCGCCGAACCTTCTAACACATATAAATGATCCTTACATTACTTCTCCTCTAGCATTCAAAAAATCTACCATAACAAAAATCTCATTGCAATCCAAAAGCAAAATTTCAAATTTCATAGTTATCATTTCTGAAACAATTGACCTTCAAATAACCAATTTGGACCTCCTAAGAAACCGTCAAAATATTTCGACTCTGATACCACTTGTTATGAAACAAACAAGATACAAAAATTGGTCTGATACATCTTGTTATGAATCCGACCAAATAATTAAAGACGACAATACTATGAGTAATATGAAAATAATGGATGACAAATAAAACAAGATTTATGTGAAAACTCAAATCTGGGAAAACCACAGGTAGGACGAAGAATTTACTATAATCAATAGTAAGGAGTTATAAAGAATCTCTCTAGATTAAAAACTAATTGAACAATTGGTCAATTCTAATATAAGGCGAAATCTCAATATAATGGGTAAAATAAATAATGGAGAATTTGGGATGAAATATGAGTCAAATTCACCTGGACTTTTTCAAGACATTTTCAAATTTACTACCAATTCCAAATACTCCTCCAACGGTATTTTCAATCAAATACTCAATAAGAATTCGAGTCATAACCCAATTCTAATACTCTTCTAAGAACCATATTGATAAAAGAAAAATGAATATTAATGCGTGTAATGTCTCAATATGACAGACGTGAGAATTTTTCTCAAAATAATGACCATCAAACAAGGGGCTTTTTTGGAAAAAAAAATTAAATGAAAAATGAGTAAGAGAAAGTAGATCTTATTAGCATCACTCTCTTGACCTAACCATTCCTTCCAAACAATCGCCCCTCCTCCCGTCTTCATTGGGCACCACTAAAACAGAAGTTCGAAATAAACTTATAGGATTTGGATTTTAGGTGATGGAATTAGGATGTCATTGTTTTGTTACAAGTAAAATGGTTCATGAATTTTGTCTTGTTAAATGTGTGTGTGTGTGTTTTTTTTGTCTAGTTTTGTCGTAGAACTGAGGATCAATCATTCAAGGATGGCAACATATTTAGAGCAGTAAAACAAAAAATGTCGTGTTAAAATGATGAATAACTTGATTTAAAAGTTTAAGTTATTAAAGTTGCTCACAAGTCAAATGCAGTAGACAACAACGATTTATTCTTTGCTTAAAAATTATGAAAGAGTTAATTTCACAAATGGTCATTAAATTTCAAATTGACCATTAAAGTATTTTTGCGACCGATTTAATAATTAAATTTATATTATGTAATGTGTGTGGCACGTGTCTATGTCATGAAATTGTATACCTTAAAATAAAATTCACTTCTTAAGAGGAAAAATTCCTCACGAATCATAAAATTTCTAAATTGTAACACCCGAGAAAACTAACAAGAGGGAGACAGGATGAATCAATAGTATTATACTATTGCATCAAATATGAAGTTAAATTTAACTAAAAAGGAGACCAAACACGCGTATTATTTTTATTTTAATAATTAAATGAGTCACCAAAAATTTTAACGAATAATTTACAATTTTACTTGAAATATTGTCATTGAAACTCCTATAGGCTTCAAAAGTTCGATTTGATCGACTCCTATTAAAACTCGTCCGTTACGCAAAAGACCCTTTATTTTCAACTGTCTTCCTTAAAAAGTCCCTTTTCAGCTTAAAATTTCTCACAATTTTCCAGAGAAATTATACAGGCGAAGATCAATACAAAATGCTCTCAAAGAAGAGTCCGATTCGAGGGGTATTGAATTGGTTACGGCGACAGCCGCCGAAGGTGAAGGCATTCCTGGCCGTGCTCGCTGTGATGACGGCTCTGGTGCTTCTACGTGCCATTGTTCACGATCACGACAACCTCTTCATTGCCGCCGAGGCAGTCCACTCCATCGGAATATCGGTTCTCATCTACAAGCTCACGATGGAAAAAACCTGCGCTGGTAGGTACTTCCAGTATTTAGTTGTTACGGATAAATTATGTTTACAGAATTAACAGTGAATAGTTTAGGGATAAGAAAAATTGGAGCTTTGGTTGGGAATTATCAAAGATCTTGATTTGGTGGTAGGATCTTGCAAGGAAACGTAGCTTTAGTTAGTTTTAGTTTATTCTATTTGATGGAACGAGAAGATATAATTTTAAAACTATTTTAGGCTTTTTATTTTTCATAATTTTCTGTTGGGGAGAGAGAAGGGAGGGTGGGTGGGTGGAATGAACCAATTATTTTTTTGATAATGGAATCAAACGGTCTTTTTTTTATTAAGATATAGAACCAAATCGGAATCGAACCATAGGCTATGATTTGATTCCGGTTTGGTTCCTCTTGGTTCTAGTATCATTACTGAATAAGAAAGAACATTTGAGGAAGAAAAATTGAAGGTTGAGGCTTTAATTTCAAAAATCTATGCGACGGTAGTAACTGAACACGATGGTAAACGGCAGACGACAGTTGTTGGTTCCATGTGAGAGTTGGTGTATAAATTAAAAATGAGAGAATGAAAAATGAATTAGGGTCCGAGTCTCCAAAATGAATTAGGATCTTCAGTCTACACATTGAGAAATGAGAAAATGAAGGTAAAATGACCTTTTTATCTTGATTTTCAATCGAATTTTGAAATTCTTTTGTGTGAATTTTGTAATATAATAATAATAATAAAAATTTAAATATTGAGTTTGGTTTTTGGTTCTAGAACTAAAACTGAACCATAAACAAAACCAAATGGATCTCAGTTTTAAGAAACTAGAACCATTAATTTTTTTTTTTTTTTGTAGAACCGAACCGATTAATTTGGTTTTAGGGATGACAACCGGGCGGGTATGGGACGGGTCGACCATTCCCACCCTCGTACACCCGTCCCGTCGAGTATTTTTGTTACTTTACCCCATCCCCATAGTCGGTTAAAGTGGGGCGGGGCATTTATCATTCCATTTATTTTTTATTTTTATTTATTCTATTTTTTGCTTTTATTTTTTTATGTTTTTAGTTGGTAAATATTATTATTTTTTTATTAATTTGTTAAAAACAACTCATGTTCTTTTTAAAAATGATGATAAATATATTATTTTTGTTTGATAAAAAACTTAAATTTAAAATTAACTTTAAACGGGGTGGGTAGCTGGATAAGGATTATGTTTTCCTTATCCGCCCCATGGTAATGACCCTCGCCCAGTCCCCTTCCCCAACCCATTCGGGGCTGGCCCCACGGGTATCTTGTTGAAAAGGTTTTTTGTCATCCCTATTCTCTTTGTTTATGGTTTGGTCTGATTTGGTTTGGTCATTTTTTCCACCCCTAGTTCTCTTTGTTATTTTTATATGGACATCTATTAAGGTTTTACAATGCATTAGCTTTCTCACGTGCCTAATTAACAGCGGGGTGGGAAGTGGGAACTGCATGGTGGTGGTGCAGTATTTAGTTTGTTTTTTAAACCCTATCATACCTAGATCTGATGAAATAGGATGAAGGAGAGGATGCCGAAGCTAATAACAAAAGGATGAGAAGAAGCGAAAACTCCTGTTTGTAGTGATTCACAGCATTTGTGCTGATCCAAATTCTTTTTTTTACTTGAGGAAAGAAGAAAAAGCCTTCTCTTTTTTCAAAGGAACGATTAAAAAAAATTCATAGGATTTACCTCCACTTTTAGAGAAGGTTGGTTGGTTCTATTGAATGAGGGTTAGGTTATCAAAGTTTATACCACTTCGTACATTGGTTGTTTTTGACTTTGGGCAATAACTTAATGTTATGTTGCAGCTTTTACAAAATGAGATTCTGAATATGAATTTGAGGTTATAATTGTTGGAAAAATAAAAATTATAATTCCATTGATATACATAAACATTAGATTGTGACAGCAAACACAGCTTCTGACTCTATTTCCATGGAAATTTACTGGGTTTTTATTGCAGGACTTTCACTCAAATCCCAGGAGCTGACAGCCATCTTTTTGGCCGTCAGACTATATTGCAGTTTTGTCATGGAATTTGATATACATACATTGCTCGACTTGGCTACCCTGGCTACAACGTTATGGGTTATTTATATGATTCGTTTTAGACTGAGGTCAAGTTACATGGAGGATAATGACAATTTTGCATTATATTATGTGGTGAGTCTTCAACAGCATCGACACCATTTTTTCTTTCTTTTCCATTCGGTTATGATTTTATATCGTTAGTATCTTAATTTTAAAAATATTTTTTGGGACATGGTTTGATATGGCAGTACTGAGGAGTAGCCTCTATGCCTGTAGGCGCTTCTTTTGGCATGCCTTTTTTTTTAGACTGAATGAAGCATGCCTCAAGGCAAACACCTCACGGGGAGTAAGGGGTGCACTTCATATGCTATTTAAAATTTGATTTTTTTGATATAGTGAATTTTATTAGGTTTTCAGTGTAAAAACGTCTTTAAGTGATAAAGTGATAAAGCAAACTACTTTGGTTCGATTACTAGCAGCTATACTATTAGTTTTCCGCCTTCTTTGTGAAAATTTGCACAATTATTCTTAGCCTATAATATGTAGCAAATACATCCTCAACCTTTAACATCAGATCTTTGAATCCCCAACCTTTACTACTATTCGCATAGTGGGGGGGGGGGGGGGGGGGNAACTTATCTTTATATAAGGGTTCAGCCTAGTCTTACTTAAGTAGGAATCACAATAAGTAAATAAAACCTAAATTGAGTCAAAACATAAGAATTTTAAATAATATCAGAAGTGAACCCCGCATGAAGAGAAAATCACTCCCTTTTACTAAAGAACTGGGTGATGCTATATTTTGATCAAAACATAAAATGAGGAAGCCTTTTTCGTTATGTAGTCTTTTGGATTCCCTAGTATTTCATGGACTTTAATGGACATGTGGTTTATGCTTATGGTATCTTCACCCGTATTTTTTGCCTTCAGTTTTTGTAAATCAGCTTATTGATTTCTGCATCTGTGCAGTTGATTCCTTGTGCTGTTTTTGCTTTACTAATCAATCCATCTACATCACATAACATCATGAATCGGATTGCCTGGGCTTTCTGTGTTTACCTGGAAGCTGTTTCTGTGCTACCTCAACTGCGCGTCATGCAAAATACAAAGGTGAAATTTATTGCGCATAAACCATGCTGATGCCGAAGCATTTTTTTTGTAAAGCTGCAGTGCATGTCTTGATGTTCTATATTTCTTGGTGACAGATTGTTGAACCATTTACAGCTCATTATGTATTTGCATTGGGTGTTGCAAGGTTCTTGAGTTGTGCTCACTGGGTTCTCCAGGTTTGACTCATAAACTTTGTTATGGACAATTGTCTAAAGTCTTCTTCAACTTGTATTATTGCAGAAATTGCTTAAATTTCTTGTCATCGTTGAATACCCCTCTCAGTATTCTAACGTGATACACTGATACTGAATGGCTCACTGGTGCTACACATAATAATCATTTTTTTATTTTGATGAGTGGGAGGGCCAATGGCGTTGTTGCCATCATAGTCAGGCATGCAATTATACTAAGTTTATGGGAAAGTTAGGCTCAAGGGACTAGGGACTTTTTTGAATTTTAAGACTGTAATTCTTTGTTATTTAGGGAGAAAAGATTGCCTAACTTCATAATTTGCTAATATAGAAATTTTTAGACAAAATTACGTTTAGTCCTGCCACGTTTTCCGATTATCATCATGTATCACATGTCAAATGACACCTCATTTACTTTCGCATATATCATATCTTTGAATCATAAAATTTAAACTAGATTTTTTAAAACCAGTATATGATCTGTTGTCACTTTCACTTATAAAAAAAATTATAAGCTGATTATATTTGAACATTAAATATTTCTTCAAATTATCAAATTTAAAGTAATATTAGTATCCAAAGATGACAAAAAGTCTCAGTTTTGAATGATTCTGTCCACTGCTATACCTTAGTGTGCATGGCATAAATATACCCATCTCAAGGTCATCAAAGCTGAACTCAGAAGTCTTGCTAGTGGGTCTAGTCTGTCATTGTAATTTTCCATAATTAATTACAGTTGGTCACTTCTTTTTACAAATTATTCAGCTGATTATGCAGTTTCTACTTTCTAGTAGTTGGAAGTTTTCATGTTCTCAAACGTTTGTTTTCAAGATGTCAATATTTCGAGCTCTCCCCTACGATACTTTTGAACTTAAACTAATGTTAGATGCATAAAAGTGTGCTTTCTTTGAGTTGACCTAGCAGGGACATGGAAAAGATTTTTCAGCAAAAATACTATGTTAATCGTTATAAATCTGTATGCCCTTTGCCCCATTTACCAGAAATTTGTTTGTTTCTTGTAAATTAAAAATTTCCTTTTCCCTCAAGCCCAATTCTCGCTGTGTTTTTCTGTGACGTGTTCACCTGAGTAATGTGCTTGGATACCTCTAACGGGTGGTTTAAATTACAAAATAAAACATATTGTGCCATGCTTTTGAAAACGGTTCGGATTTGCTTTTTCTTCATTATGCGTGTTATCCTCGAAATCTAGCATTAAATACTTCTATAGTGAACCATTCTATGAAATAAGAAATATTTAACCGTGTTTATTTTGTATTAATGCAGATCATGTTTTCTTGAATATATTGAACTACAACTATCTTTGTACGTCAAAGTTTTACCAAATTGGTATTAATATTGTTCATCTTCATTTGACAGGTTTTGGACAGTCGAGGTGGTCTTCTTGTGGCATTGGGTCATGGACTGTGGCCTCCAATGGTTCTTTTATCAGAAATTGTTCAAACCTTCATCTTGGCAGACTTTTGTTACTACTACGTTAAAAGGTTCACAATCAGTTTTCTTTTGGTTATGTACGCTTATATACCAAGTAAATTAAGTGTTTAATTTTGATAAATTATGGCTTTCATTTTTGCAGTGTTTTCGGCGGACAACTCGTGTTACGCCTTCCTTCTGGAGTCGTGTAATTAGCGGTGATACAAGCTCTCGTTTTAATTTATTTATTGTGCACACCATAGGCTCGTCGCTGGTTCTTCGGCATTCAAATCTGGTGGATGGACTTGTAAAGTTGGCAATACAAAAGCATTCAAGCAACTGTTCTACAAGAAACCAGAATCTTTGCTCAACTGTTACATTACTAATTGGTTTTAGATAGTGGAGTTGTAGTTTCTCATATGCAAATACTTCTCTGTTAGTTACACGACATGACTAGGTTTACTTCTTTCTTTTTTAGTTTAATATTATCCACGGTGAACTTTGTCTGATTTCGGATTGATATTTATCCATTAATTTTAAAAACCTGATTTATGTTAGCCTGTGAACGGTTGAGCCCAGTACAGTATTGTTTTTTTATATTTTGAAAATAAAATTATATCTGCCCCTGCCTTTTGTAGTCATTCTCGATAGTAGTTGTCATTATCATAGAGCTTGTTTGATAGAGATTAAAATCGGATTAAAATTGAAAAAATAATCGTTATTGTTGAATTTTATTAGACGAGTGAGATCCAATAAAGGTTATATTTCAATTTTAATTGAATTTTAATTCCTCCCAAACAAGCTCCAGATCTTTTTCAATCAAGCCATGTGTAGAGATTGAATGGAACTCATATTGCGAGAATACTGCATGACACATTATGATTGTACTAAGCCATTCCCTTAGCGCCGCCCTGCCTAATTAACACAAAGAATGCAACAGCTTCTTGAAAATTTTTTGTGGGACGGTCTTATATGTATGCATATGTAGTAAGGTTTTTCATTCAAATCACGATGTCTCAATATCCACTTTGATAAGAGAGAAATGAAGTGGAGGTGCAAACTTAGTGCCCGTTCGGCCCCATCATTCCACGTTATAATGAGTAGCAATTTTTCGAATAATGTGTAGTTATTTTTTTTAATTTACGTGTAATATAATTTTATTGAAAAATGTGTGATTGATAAAAAAAGAACAGTGCTATTCATCCCCACTGGATTTGTATCCTCAGTCTATGTGACGTTAAATGATATGTGAAATTAAATAAGTCATTTAATTTCACATATCATTTAACCAATCATTTAATATCATCTAGATTGGGGATGCAACCTCATTGGGGCTACATAGCATTATTGTAAAAAAAAAAAAGATGAATTATAATTTCATGTGGGCTAAATAGGAGCTTAGTCAAATGTTGACGTGGTGTGGTTGAGTACATCGAGGCGAGGGGTTGCGATTTTAGTGGACTATTATGTCACGTGTACCTATAAATTTATTTTGTCGAAGTTTTTATTGCTTTATATGGTCAGCAAATCCTTATTTGATTTTCATTATTTACAAAAGAATAATGCTATTTCCAGTTGTTCACTGCAACAGTCGCCCTATATAGCACACACATATCAAGTGTGTATTTAATGTATTAATGTGGTAAAAAAAACTATCACATTAATACATTAAATAACTACATACCATGTATATGCCACATAGGACGACTGCTGCAGTGAACGACTATGAATATCATTACTCTTTACAAAATACATTTTTCTCTCTTCTTTTTAATTATTCATTTTTAATAAAGTAATATTTAAATTCCAAATTTTTCCTTATTTTCTAACCATACATTCTCCATCAATTTATTATTTCAAAATGTGTTTTGCTATAGATCCCAATGAAAGGTATTTTCTAAACCGGGGATCAATCGTAGAATGCCGTGCGAATTTCAGATAAAAGCAGTTTAAAGAAAGAAAACGCGGCAAGAGAGTGAGTTCCAGCAAGAATACAGCTGTGAACACAAAACTATCGTATTATTCTAATTATCAAGTTTCCTAAGTACCTTTTGACTTTCTTGATGAACCATCTATTATTGCCAACTCATCGATACTGTTACTAAATTGCAAATAAAAAATTGAAATATTAGACTCAAATTGACTTGTTTTTTCATAAAACTTCAATTATGTTTGGTGTAGTTACATTTTTTAATAAATTTTATTTGTCCGAATCTAGCTTTCTTGACCGACTCCAATTATATGCACTCCAACCAAGATTAGTATAATTTGTTCTTTTCTTCTATATGAAAATTCCTAATCTCTTTCATATTGTTTTTAACTTGGTATGCATGAGAGTGTTATCTTAAGCAATGTTAATGAACAATCATTATGTGATAATAGGGGTGTCAACGAGTCGAGCTGTGAGCCAAAACTTTTTGCTCGGGCTCTGTTCGAGTAAAAATAGTTCAAATTTTTTTTGGCCGAATCGAACAAAAACTCGACCAAACAATTTAGGTTCGACCCGAACTTTCGGCTCAAACCTTAGTGAGCCAAGACAAGCCATTTTGTCATCCTACTTGATAATAGGATCATTGCCATATTTTTCAATGAATTAAAATGCATCAAACTTCATTAAAAATTGTGACAGTAATTCCATTACCACGTAAATTGCGATCCCGTTAACTGTGTTTATAATTGACGTTACTCATATTTTAATATTGTGGTGTATAATTAAATATAGGAAAGTTGTAGGTATGTAGGGCACAATGCCAGACTGCATTAACGCCAACTGCATTGCATGCAAGACACCTTCCATCTACTTGCTTTCTTGAGTTTCCATCTGGTCCTCGAATCACCCTGCCCCTCCATAAACGGTTCACATTCTCCTATAAATACCATTCCTTTTCTTCCTCTTTTTCTCAACATAAACAAACACAGTAATTTAATTCCCTTCATTTCTCTTTCACCATTTCCTTAATTAAAAGCTCTCAAAACTCGTAAATGGCTACTTCCAAAGTCCTTCTTGCATCGGTCTTTCTTTCTCTGCTTGTTCTCCATCAAGTCCATGCAGTTCAAACCAATCAAGCTGTAAGTGATTTTAATACTGAATTTTAACATTTTTCTTTCAAATTCTTCTTTTTTTTTGCTGTATTTTTCTTATTATAAGTTTAATCCATAACAGTATATACTTTTGTGCTCTTGCAGACTGGCAATGGCATTCCCCAAAATGATTCCAGCATGAAAATTGGTATAATTCGATAAACTATATCCAAACCCCATATTCACTATTTTTCTTCCATTATTAATATATTCTTAATAATATGTAAGTATTTTTTATGTATGTATAGATTGTGGGGGGTCTTGTGCTGTAAGGTGCCAATTATCCTCAAGGCCAAATCTCTGCAAGAGGGCTTGCGGGACTTGCTGCGCCAGGTGCAACTGCGTGCCGCCGGGCACTTCCGGCAACTACGATGCCTGCCCTTGCTATGCCAGTTTGACTACCAAAGACAACAGGCGCAAATGCCCTTAAGTTATTACAATCTCGTTTTCATTTGCAGAATCCATCCACAGTTTTTCTTGCATATTATCAAAACAATATATATGGAATCTTGTATTTAGCTTTGTTCTTTTGTGTGTCTATATATGTGTGTCATATGTGAGCGTTTAATGTCTTGTTATATATAATATTCCTGTAAGAGTCACTGAGGTTAATAAGTTGATGTTGCAGATATTTTGTGTATGATATTAGTATCTTGTCTTAATCTTTTCATTTGATCATTTACTCAGGATTGTTTGATGAAGTTACTTTTTTCTAAAAATCAAACTGGACAAACTTCATTTTTAATCCATAACATGTCCGGTTGCGAGAGAAAAGAGAATATCGCTGTTGACATTTGACGTGGTGTGAAAAGATGATAGGATGGAAAATTGTTTATCTTTTAAACTGTTCAATGGTGTGTTGTCACGTGACACAATGTAAAAGATGATATACATGTAGCATGACAACACACCATTGAACCGTTTATGTAAATAATTTCCTACGTTTCATTGAATTCGTCAACTTTTTATTCGCTAAACATATACATAAAGGCACTTCGTATATTTTTTTAGCATTCGAGATGTCCATGTTTGGCTAAGCTCCAAAATTAATGCTTTCTGGTATATTTATTGAAAAGTTGTTTGCTATGCTTGAGAACAACCTTTACTTTTGTAAGCAAAGCCAAAAATGCTCTTAATTCATCGATCATTAAGTTAAATACCACAATAATCCTAGGTTGTTGACGGGAAATTCTAGTTTCGAACTAAGTCACTGTTTTTGCAAATAGAGATCAAAGACTGTATCGGCCAGCAGGGGCGGACGCAGAGCTTAAAAGTTAGGGGGCACAATCGAACTTACAAAGAAGTTGGGAGAAATTTTACAATCGAGAATTTACGTCCAAAAAAACCATACCTCATGTAATTTTACATCCGAAAATTTACATGGAATATGACTTTTTCAGATGTAAAATTTCGAAAATTTTTGATATCATATTCCATATAAAATTTCCTAATAAAATGATGAAAATTATATTGAGAAATTTGTATCGCAAAAATAATAAATGTTAATGAAATAATTGAATTTTTTTTTAAAAAAAATGTGAGTTGACGCCTCTTTTTAAGATTCACGTTTAACGCATCTTTAACTATTTTCGATATCTGTTTGGACTATTCGATATGCATATAATGTAGTTCTCGAAATAAGATTTAAGATGACATAAGCAATTGTATATTCGATTAGCGTACGATCGTCAGAGAATTTTTAAAATTAGCATGTTATTGAAATTTTCGAAATACTAATTTTGAACGGCCTACTTTGACAAGTTGTAACATTTGCTATGATTGATTGTTTCGTAGGCCATTAACGACGTAGAAAACTAGACCGTGAGCACTTCGAAATGGTATTAAAAATGCAATATTTCGATTTCGTTTCACGTCTCATACTGACTTCGAAAATTGAAACATAAATATAGAAAATTTAATGGTGAAAAAAAAGGGAGCAAAGTTGGGGGTCACGTGACCCCAAGCCACCCCCTGCGTCCGCCGATGCTTGGGACAAATTAAAATAATAAAATCTACAATTGATAACTCTATACAAAAAATAATAAGATTTTCTGATTGTGCTCGTGAAGGAAAGAAAGCTTTCTAGTTTATCTAACAAAATTTCCAGATTATCCTACTAGATGTGATCAATCTCTTTTAGAATCACAATCAAATGCCATTTTCTGACAAGTCTAACGAGAATTCACATGAGTATGTATCGTAGTTTCTGGAGTTGTGAAAGACTTTATTTACGAGGGAGTTTGGTGAAACCATTCAAATGCGAATAATGTAGGTGTCTCCCTACCCAATAATGTATTCTAATTCATGTTCTAATTGTTGCTTTCGAAATTTTTATTTTTAAATATAGAATATTTTGGACAATAAAAGTAGTCACCACTCCCATAACTTAATGGTTTCCTAAAATCCTTTATATTCTATTTCGTGAACATGAAAAGTAATTATCGGACGAAATAAACAGTGTGCACCAAAGGTATAATGTTCCTCATCATGAGAAATTGTTTCATAAGATCATGTTTGATGCTAATATGCTTGTAAAAAAAATTACATGGAGGGTCTCATAATAATTTTTCGTCTAGAGCCTCGAAACTTTCAGGGCCGACCCTGACAGGCAGCCACCACCACCACCACCGCACCTACTAACTTTGTTGGTCAAGATTATTAACTTATTTCTTTAATTTTCCCTTAGGTGATCTTATTGGTAAACTTTTATTGAAATGGAAAACTCATCTTCAAGGTGGATAATTTTTCCTCACAAGTTTTCGGTTACATAAGTTTTGATCACATCGATTTAAAATGAGTTATATTGTTACTAATGTTACATTAAGTTATGTTGACACACTAAAAATACAGCCCAAATTGAATTGCCCAAAGAGTGAAGCTCAATTGGAGAGTCCAGGATAAAGGCCCAAATAAGGTTATTGGTGAATGCAGAGGAAGCCCACGAACACAGTAATATCATCGTCCAAGCCTGCAAGACTCCCAGAATTTGGACGAATGGAGTGCCTCACGGTCACTCAGAGCGACAACCTCGTTCTCGCTCGAACCTTCGAGTCGCCCAGAATCTTAATGCATGAGATATTATGGTTATCCAGAATAGCAGTTACTGAAACAGTTATCAAGCCAATTATCACATTCCACGATTTCAGGAGCCCATTTGAAGACAGTTGAACGATACAGAGTAATGGCAGCAGTTAGAGATGGCAGTTCCACGACAAGTTAACCACCATGAAGAAAATAGGTAGTTAGAAAGCAATTAAGTAATTTCCAAGCGGTTTGTCACGAAAAAATCATCATGGGAATATAAAAGGAAGAATAGACATAAAGAAAATGACCCCGAATCAAACACTCTCTAACAGAGAATATGTAATTTCAATTTCTTAGATTAACTTTAATTATCCATTTTCAGTACTCGTGTGCTTACGCCCCTTAGAAGCATTCTGTTTATTTCCAATTGTAACTCTCATCAATAAAGCACCACTTTTTGGGATTTTGTCTCAAGAGGTTTGTCCCTTATACAATCATTCGAATTTCTTTTTAATTGTTACATTACTTGTACTTTTAAGAATACACAAGCTTACAAGGTCTGAAATCAGGGGTGGAGCCAGAAAAATATGTTAGGTTGAGCTGAAATTTAATTTTTTAATTAACTTATACCATAAAAGATGCTTTAAACCACACGAGATTTAGTTTAAAAGGTTAAATTCATGACACTCATAATAATGTGGGTCATAATCATTGTTGTCAAAATCGGCCCGGCACAGTCGATTCGACCGGTAAAATCCGGAATCGAACCCAAAATCAAATCATGCCCGGTTAACTGATTATGACAAAATCGCTCAAAACTCACTTAACCGGCTGGTTCAACCATAAACTGGTGAACTGGTCGCAATTTTGTGGTTTTCACGATTTTTTTTTTGTTTAAAAATTTTTAACTTAATGAGTGGAACTCATAAATTACAATTCAAAGGCCCATAGAGAATTATTGGATGGCATGTTCATTTTATAGATGCTCTTCTCTCCAATGGTTTCATAAACTTTTAGTATGAGACGGTATCTTTTATTGATACTCTTCACTCCAATGGTTTCATAAACTTCCAATGTGAGATAGTGGCATAATAAAAAAATGTTAAAATGCCCATAAAATTATTTTNATAAGCAATTTGTAGATTCGATTAGCGTATGATCGTCGGAGAATTTTTAAAATTAGCATGTTATCGAAATTCAAATTTATTGTGATTTTGCCCCTGTTTGGTGGAGATTAAAATCAAATTTTTAGTAAATTTTGATAAAAGTTAAACAGTTATGGATTCCATAAAATATGCTATTAAAATTAATTGTTAACTTTGATTTATATTAAAATTTAGATTTCAATCGATACCAAACACGATTTTATATAAAAAAAAAATTCTCAAAAGTTGGGAGGCACTTGCCCTCAGGACCCCCAGGCCCCAGGTCCGCCCCTGTCGGCCAGAGGATGGCCGCCATTTGATAGCAAGGAAAAAAAATACTATGAATAAAGATTTCATGAGTTTTTAAATTTATTTTCTTCGACATTGTTGTCTAGTTTGCATCAACTGACATACTATAAAGCTATATCTGGTATAAAGCTACATTTGGTGTAATATTTGACAATGTCACACGATATAGAACATACAAGATTTTAACTTTTTTTTTTTTTTTTGTCTTATTTAACTTTTTATCTAGTCAAGCATAATATCATGGTGACATATACAGATGGGTCAATGACTATAAAATTAAATCAAATAAAGTGGGTTAGATTTACAAATCAGTGGGAAAGCACCAACACAAGTTGCAAATGAAAACTCAGTATCGTTGTAAAGTAAACTCTATCCATTTAGTACATTTTCCGATGAAAGATTATTCTTAATTTCATTAACGTGATTAACAGTACTCTTGAAAATGCAAATAATATAAATTCATGAGCAGATATCTTAGAAGGATGCAAAATGAGTAATTCTAGATTGCTCATGAAAGATGTTGACAACGTTTTTTGTAACGATTACGTGGACAACAAATGTCGAGTCAACTTAGATTGCTCATGAAAGATGTTGACCCCGTTTTTTGTAACGATTACGTGGACAACAAATGTCGAGTCCACTCCCGCCTACGCAAGCAAATTTCTACACGTTTTGACCGGAGATTTGGGTGGGATAGGATGATTTTATGGACGTGAGAGATGCTTTACGATGCGAGACAAAAATGTTTGAGCACCGGTAATACGATTAAAGATGATTGCATATGAACAAAACATTCATAAACAACTCAACAAAAACTGAAATAATCTAACTCAAGCAAATAAATATGAAATAAGCAAAAAGAGAAGATTTAGGGTGGTTTCAAGTGTAAAATGTTGCATTATCCCTCAAATGGTATAAATTGTGGGATTTTATAGAGTCCCGACAGACGTAA